GACAATAACGCAGAAAATATGCATAAACTTAAATTTAAAGATAAACTTATAGTGCTCACAGTATAGCTCAGGGTGCCGAAACACACCTTGCCGAGGCGTCGTCGGAACCGCCTGATTAAACTTAGTAAACGACTATAATAAACCATCTTATCCCTATTCTATAGAACTCACTAAACTGAACGTAGACGCCTGATAGCTCACTAAGGAACCAAATTGCACCCTGTCTGTGCGCTGGAGGACGTTCTGGATTTGATTTATTGAATGACTGTAGTAATCCTATTTATTGACAGCATATCGCACTCTTTAAAACGAACGTATGCGCAATTCGCACCCTGCCGGAGCGCCTGCAGACGCGCTGATTGAATTTAGTGAACGAATATAAAACTCCATCTTAGTCGTAATAGGAAAGATAAAAGTCAACACAGAGGCGATTTAGGAGTAGGCCTAGATCATTATTTTGTGTTAACGCCTAAGACGATGTAGATTTAGTTATTTTTCTCCAAAAAATAAATTCAAAGTAACCTCGTTTTATAATTATAAATTTAATCAAACAAATATAAAAACCTTTATTATAACAAGCTTTTAAATGCACTGAAAATCAGAAAAAAAAATGTAAGAAACATTATGCACCTTCATAGTAGATTATAAAGTGTTACCAGCCAATGAAAATGACAATTATCTCATTGGTTGCTTGCCCAGTGTGTCGGCAATGTCTAATGTTAGTTGTGTTCTTGAGAGTGATGGTTATACGTTTTCCCGTGCCGTGTGACCTATTAGAATCTGGGTTGTTTTTTTTATACTACACCAGGGCAGTACAACTTAAAGCGTTGTGTAGTCAAGATCCAGTGTGCTGATGTTCGTTAGTGAACGATAACAGCAATCATGGCTGTATATCACGTCACTCACATCATTTACGTCAGTCACGTTATTCAAGTCTGTCGTCGTAATACCAGTTCACCGAACTACGCACAACAGTGTGTTAGTGTTATCTTTAAGGGTCAGCCCTTAAAAGTACTAAACCTCCGTGGGTGAGCTTCACATCCTATCCCTAATGAGTTAGTGTTACACAAATATAATTATATTTTTTTAGTTCTTACTCAATCCAGTATTTTTCTCCGTGAGAAATTTGTTTATTTCGATGTCCTGTAAATTCTTCTTGCTGTAAATTACAAATTTAAACTGATAGAGAAAAAGAAAAGAAACATTTAAATTTTGTAAAAATTGCACAATGCAACACCATACATATGTAGGCCAAAAGAATTGCAAAGGCTTGGGTAACATATTTTATGTACATATGTACACAAATTTGTTTTTAATAGATGAATGCTTTTTTTACAAGTTTTTATTTAACTCACTTCTCTGTCGTCAGTCTGTCTAGATCGAAGCGCCCGAGCGAAATTAAGGGCCCATTTCACTGATGGATTCGGTTCAAATTTGGCACGTGGGTCAAGACATAAATACAATGCAACACGGCATTAAATTTTACTTAATCATTTGCCTAATTAATTTTTATAAATTAATTAAAATTTTGACCAAATTAGTAGGCAGTCTTACCCAACTATTCCGGACTATTATACACGCGTCATCACGTTCAATAAGTGTGCGATGGTTTTTAGTCATGCTACTTTATTGTAAATTTAAAAAAATGTAAAGTACTGAAAAATATTTGATAGAAAATATTTTAATAACAACCTTTTATTTAAAAATGCACTAAAAAGGAGAAAAAAAGTATACCCTTCTATTTAAATAACTATAAAGGAAAACGTGTGTCTCTTCCTAAATATTAGTAAAGGTATTAAATAGATACTAAAGTGACCCGCGATTTTCTATATAGTTATTTAAATAGTAGTGTATAATTTATTTTCTCCTTTTTAGTGCATTATTAAATAAAAGATTCTTATTACAACATATTTTAGGAATTTTTATAATGAATTTCCTAATTTTTTATAATTTCTATGTACCAAAATAACAAACAATTATTTTGGAATAAACTGAATAATGTGCATTTGTTCTGATGATAGTGGTATTAGATATCGGATCATAAAATACGTATAACAAAACAATTTTTTTAGAGTTAACATTGGTTTGAATAAATGGTAATTGATACATTTCCACAACCTCTACAGCCAAGGCTGGTGAACAGAAGATCTTGGGTAAAACTTTTCTTATTATAAATGTACAAAACAAAACATGTTTTTAAATAAATTGAACAATGTAATGATTATTAAAGTATAAGATAAATTACAATTCTCAAATGACAAACCAATACTTTGAATTGTATAATTAGTTAAAGTCAGTGTTAATAAAAGATTAGATTTCTTTATTTTCGCAAACCAAAACCAATTCATGGAAACAATTTCGTAAGCTTTGTTTGATTATTCTAGTATCACAATAAATAAACATTTGTTTTAAAAATGTGAATTTATATATATAAAAAATTTCCTCAGATACGCATATTTCCACCTCCCCATTACGTAAGTTTGTTTTTTAATATCTGTGTATAGCAAACCAGTATACTTTTTTTAAAATGAAGTGAGCTATGATTAAAAAAGAGCTTTAAAAGTTCAACCTATGAAACATTTTAGATTCAATTTGAAGTTTATAAAAATAAAAGAAATTAATATGAAAACTTGTTGTCAGCAGCCACATTTTAAACACGATCATAACAATGTAAGTGTAATAAACCATTCTATAATCTGATACATATATATATATATATATATATATATATATATATATATATATATATATATATATATATATATATAACTTAATTTGACGTGTGTATGTGTGCATTTGTGTGTGTTAGTGTGTACAAGTGAAAAATTAAATAAATTTATTCACAATTTAAAAAAAAATAAAAGCCTTGCAACTAAGACTTACAGATTCTTTAGTTACTTATCTGTTTTTTTCATCAACACCCAACATTGAGCGATGTATCTGAGCATTTACACAGGTGCAGACAACACAAGAGCAATTCAACAACACAGGGCGGTGCTATTGCGCATGTCTAAAATTGTTAAGATATTTTACGTTTTTCAATGGAGATCATCACTTTGATTAATTAATGTACAATTTTAAATAGACTGATGTAAATGTATATTTAATTCTTTTCATCTAGGATCCTATTCCTGGATTTACACTTCCGCATCCAGACTATCAAGATTATTCTGAAGAAGATTATGGATATCAGAATGACTATACCACAGAAAGGAGTGTACGTATAACATGAAAACAGATATCCCTGATTTATCAATCATTACTAACTAATAATAACTATGACGTGTATATCTTTTATTTTACTTTTGGTATTTGCAAGTCGTTAAAAGTTAATCTAGTTAATTTGTTTATAGTAATATATTTTCATATTTTAATGAATAAACTTTTCTATTTTGTAAGTTCTTCAAACCATCAGAACGATCATATTATGTAAGTGACAGTATAATAGTATTATAAAACTTATCACTACTGCAGTAACTAACATAAGGGTAAATCCTATCAAAGTAAAAGTTATATTTAATCTTATTAAACTATAGGATCGCACATTTAAGACCTACATTTCCTTAACATACGAAAACGATACTTTTACTGAAGTCTTCGACACCCACTTGGACAAGCATAAAACATACACTTACACACACACACACACACACATGTATATATATATATATATATATATATATATATATATATATATATGTATATAGGTATATATATATATATATATATATATATATACCTTTTTTATTTCTTTATTATTGTGTTTGCTTGTTTGTTTGGATATTTTTTATTTATGTTTGTTTGTTTGCTTATTTATTTATTTATAATATTTCTCATTTTAGTTGTTCTGAAATACTTTACGAAGTGACGAGTACGACTTACCACAAGAACAGAGAGAACACGTCAGAGAGAAAAAAATATTACATGACAAATAGTTATTTGGGATTAAAATTAGATTCAAACATGACTATCGTCTTCGGAATTTCACTTCTTATTCAAAAAACTCAAATTTTCGGGATTATGATTGCTACTTGAAGATGGGAAAGGGTTATGTATTTGCAGCTATGAGAATAGGCTGCTGACTACTAGAAAACATTTCTAAGAGATCACTATGTATTTGTTCTGAGCTTACTAAGACAGAAACAATTTATAGTAACAGCAAAGTACTCATAACATCCTGACAGTTTATACAAGTATGCATTTTAATTATTTTCCCTTCCTTTAAGAACTTTAGACTTTAGTGAAGTTATTTTCTTATATCTATACTGATTTTTTAATATTGGTTTTTGTACGAAACGCGTTGCAAGTTTTATAACGAAGGCATAAACATTAAATAAAAGCTAACATTTGAAAATCCCATTAAATTATATGGGAGCAAAAAAAATGAGAATTACCATCCCTACATATGCCTGTATGAATGAGTGACGGAGGGAATTACGTAACAGAGCAATAGGAGAGATGATTCCGCGTGTATCGATGCGACATATATAAATCAAAACATATAGAAAAGAATAAAACAAAACACGATACAACTTCTTTGTGAATTAGTGTGAGTTACATCTTTATTTCATTTGATGGAATGATAACTAACTATATATATATATATATATATATATATATATATATACATATATATATATATATATATATATATATATATATATATATATATATATATATATATATATATATATATATCTGAATTGGAGAAAAAAATCAGCACACACATACGCACACAGACAGACAGACACACACACACACATAAATATATATATATATATATATATATATATATATATATATATATATATATATATATATATATATATATATATATATATATATATATATATATATATAAGTACCTCGACAAACGAGCTTTTCGAGTTACGAGATGTCCAGCGAGCTAAAATTTGCTTTTATATACGAGCAGAACTAGAGATACTAGCAACCGTATTGGCGGCTGGTTGTACATCGGAGCTATTTAATGACACTTACCTAACAAACCACAAAGACATTTTTAAAGGGTGGGGAAAAAAAGCTTCTTCGACAGGTTGATACTTACGGCCCGCGTATAAAAAATGGGGAAAGTGAGGAGAGCTTGGCGAAAAAAAATAAAGTCAAGCAAAGGGAAAAGTGAAAATTATGTGGAAGTAGTTAAACATTATTTCGTAACACACAATATTTCACAACAGAACACATAATATTTCACTAACTTTCACTAACATCACACACAATATTCACTAACATCACACACAATATTTCATAACATCACGCACAATATTTCACTACATCACACACAATACTTCAGTAACATCACACACAATATTTCACTGACATCATACAAAAAGGTTCACTACATCACACACATTATTTCACTGACATCACACACAATATTTCACTAGCATCACTCACAATATTTCAGTAACATCTTCGAAAAAAGTTCACTACATCACACACAATATTTCACTAGCATCACACACAAAATACTTCAATAACATCAAACAAAATGTTGCACAAGCTTCAGGATATCTAGATAGCCAAGATACTCCATGCTAGAACGCCGTGCAATCGTTTTTTACCTCCTGATGAGGCGGGTATTGTCTGTGCAATGTAACCTTAATTACTTAATTTGATGCTTACTTAAAAAAAACACAATTTTTTTTTTCAAAAATAAATGTGAGTTAAAATAAAATGAATTGATTTCGTGTACATTCATTAGCCTACTCTTTAGCGTGTGGGGTAAAGGTCAGTAGTATTATTTCAAACTTTTAATTAGTCTACTCTTTAGCTTTTGGGGTCACTAGTATTATCTCAAACTTTTAAATAGCCTATCTCAAACTTTTAATTAGCTTATCATAAACGTTTAATTAGTCTATCTCAAACTTTTAATTAGCCTTCTATTTAGCACTTTTGGGGTGTGCGCATCTCCAGAATTTCAGCAAAAGGTCAGAAGTTTAAATGCACACTGAATCCTAAAAAAAAATGTTAAATGATTATTTCCGTTCGATATAACTGAAAATATTTCTTATATTACAGGAAGAGAAAGGCTTATTGCTAAAAGTAAATAAATTTAAATTTCTTTAATAATGCCCTTGAAGAAATGATCCATGTTAACTTAGATCTTATGGTAGCTTGATCTAAAAAGATCTAAAGTAAAGATATTAATTCTAAAAAAAAATAGGTTAAATTATAAATAGCTTTAAGTCGTCGTCGAATGGGTGATTCATGTAATACATGAGGTCAGTTACCTCCTCGTTGCTGCTGACCTTAAAGGGCACGATGACCTTAGCTGTCCCTGATTTATGTGAACGTAATTTACTAATTTGTTTAGCTGATATCAACTTTACATGGGTTTTAAACTAATATTGATTACCAAACTAAATTTTACAGTGCTCTATATTGCATTAAAAGAATTGAGCTTTAATTATAAACTCAATTTATTTACATTTATTTGACCTATTGCTATGTCGATCCTGCCTCTTAGATTTCAGTCTCTTTCAATCCTGATTGTCATATACATGTCAAACCTGAATGTCATATCTCACTCACATACATGTCAACCCTGCTTGTCATATCTCACTCACATACATGTCAACCCTGCTTGTCATATCTCACTCACATACATGTCAACCCTGCTTGTCATATCTCACTCACAAACATGTCAACCCTGCTTGTCATATCTCACTCACAAACATGACAACCCTGATTGTCATATCTCACTCACATGCACATCTACACAATGTTCCTGATCTACTCGTCTTTCCCTGTGTTCAACTTCAGCTCCAATTTTCGTGGGGGACTATAACGTCTTTAGAATAGCATACTCATAAATGCTAACCAACAAACATCGATTCAATAAAATAGTGATCTTTGTTCATACCATCATCTGATCTCTGCTTTATACCATCATCTTGCTTCATCTCATCATTTAAAAGCTACAGATATATTGAGACATGAGCCAACAGGCCCATCCACTGTATATCATTTGTCAGTAGAAGCGTTGAGGACGCTCACACCGTAAACAATACATTAATGTTAAATTACTTTTTAACGACACTGGGTTTATTGGACAAATAAACTTCAGAGCTGATCAATAAGTTTAAAATTAAGTTCAGCCAGGTTTTCGTATCAATAACATGATCAAATAATTTTTTTTTGGAATTGTTGCTAAATGTCTATATAAATATAAGTAGTCGAATTCAACATTATTCAATCGTTTTTCACTAACCCATTTATTCGGTACCAAGCAGAGATGTTTCCTTAGTAAACAATACCTAACAGTAGAACCTATCTTTGATATATAAAAGTGTCATTTCTAGAATTTCAGAAATATATTTGATGTCATAACATTGTCTTTTTTTTATATCACAGAGAGTTGGTAGATTTACAAATCATTTTTTTGTGCTTCCATGATCAGTTACCAAAAGTAACAAAATCAAATCAGTTAGTAATATATATGGATGAATCTGTGTTGTTGTTTTTTTACTTGGTGTCACCTTCCTAAATGGTGTCATCTTCCTAAATGGTGTCACTTTCCAAAATGGTGTCACCTTCCTAAATGGTGTCACCTTCCTAAATGGTGTCAACATTTGTTGTCCGGACCAAACGCGTTATAATTAAAATTTAATTACGTAGTAGTTATACTTATTAGTGAATTTGTTACAGAAGAATCTTTTTCCTTAAATACTAGAACTACAAAGTGATACACTAAAGAATGCTTATTTTAACCATGTATGTATAAAATTAATTTATTTTCCAACGATATTAACGAAAATTTTTATCATGACGCCCCATAACTAGGTACTCTTTAACTGTTTGAAGCTGTAATTCGTAATAATCCCGTGACAATGTATGCTTAACGGAGTTGCATAAGATGTATTCTATTCGATAAAACGTGATTATAATCGATGTTACTAAACATTCACATGCTGAAAATGTTGAGAAGGAAAAATAAACATGCATGAATTTTATTTTAACAACAATCGATTTTAAAGCAGCCAATGCAAAGCAAAGCGGACTTAAAGTTTAATTTATTTTGAAAAGTTTTTCTGCAACGCCATTTCGTTGAACTAAATCTTAAATGTGCCAAGGTACTCACATGACCTGCGCGTGACGTGTGCGTGATAGAGGAGATCGGTCACGTGATCAACACTTGATCTCATATGTGCATCAAGGTCATGGCTATTTAACCAGCACACGATTGCCATGCTGCTTGCGGTAATTGGTCAAGTTAATTCATTTAATATGCCGGTCAAATAAATACATTTTTAAGTATTATAAATCTGAGCACAACCCCTATAAATTTCAACCTTTTTGGCACTCCATTTCTACGTAAATTACTTATACACACACATTAAGTATTTATATTATGCACAAACTGTAATCTAATTTATTTTCCAGTACTTATGAAGTTAAATCGCTAACCATTTGTTAACTAGATAGTTTGTTGATTCCATTTGAGTTTTTTCATGCTGCTAAAGACAGGTGAATTCAATTCACATTTTTCTTATTAAGAAGGATTTCTGATTCCAATAAAGAATTTTTGACGCTCGAAAAGATGGGGGATAAAATATCGTTGTTTTTTTATCAAGGTTTAAATTTCCGTTTTCGATAAGGCTTATGAGAGCATGACCCGCTGTATTTCTAGCAGTTAGTTTTTTTTTTCATTTTGAAAATCACTTTACTTTTAAATAAAAGCTATAATTAGTTTAACGAAATGTGTTTTTCTAAAAACAGGTTTTGCAGTAGCTGATCAAAATCATATTTAATTTTGTAAACATTTCTTATCTTAATACTTTATTCACGCTAATTCTGCAGTTAAGAAAAGTGAAATGGGGGACGACTGTCAATTATTTTTAAAATTTCTAAGATGCAAGCACGGACTGACCGGCTGGCATATGTACGGACACGGACACGGACACGGACATGGACATGGACATGGACATGGACACGGACACGGACATGGACATGGACATGGACATGGACATGGACATGGGCATGGACATGGACATGGACATGGACATGGACATGGACACGGACATGGACATGGACACGGACATGGACATGGACATGGACATGGACATGGACATGGACATGGACATGGACATGGACATGGACATGGACATGGACACGGACACGGACACGGACATGGACATGGACATGGACATGGACATGGACATGGACATGGACATGGACATGGACATGGACATGGACATGGACATGGACATGGACATGGACATGGACATGGACATGGACATGGACATGGACATGGACATGGACATGGACATGGACATGGACATGGACATGGACATGGACACGGACATGGACATGGACATGGACATGGACCGATACAGCCACAGATTAATTTTTTTTTTAATTTTTAATTTTTTGATTCCACCTTAATTGTTGTTTTATCTTTATAATTAATTTATGTTCTTCTTTTCATGTCAATATTTGTCTTAACTCCAATTAAAAAATCAACTTTTTAACGTTCTTATAAATATCATCAAGTTCATTCTTTGATCAATAAACAGACATGTGTTTAACCTAAAACAATGCCGATGTTGTAGATGATCAATATCAATAAACAATGTTTGATCCGATTGTGTGTTTTAGGAAATGGCGAAGCATGAATAGTCTAGCACTAATTGCATGTTTCAGTCGGTAGCTAAAATATAATTGGCCAGCTTACGGAAAGTAAGGCTAGTAATACCGTTACATAACTGTAAACAGGCTGAACATTCTAGGGGTCATCCATAAATGACGTAACACTCGTAGGGGGGGAGGGGGGTTCGTAATTTTGTGACGATGTGTGATGAGGGGGAGGGGGGGGGTCAGATATTGCGAAGTCACACATTAGCATTATAAAAACCCAATGTTAGAAAACGAATTTTCGCGTTTTAGATAACTGTTTTAATAAATTGTAATAGTTTAGATAAGATTTTAGAAAAATATCGATGTTTTAAAAAATTCAACTGCAATTTCAAGGGGGGGAGGGGGGTTGTAGGTTGAGGTGTGACGTCATTTCAGTTGGGGGGTCTGGCTTTTTGTGACGACGTGTGACGGAGGGGAGGGGGGGAGGTAAAAATCGTCCAAAAAAGCGTGACGTCATTTATGGATGGCCCCCCTATGTACGCCAACCCCGTTATTTTCAAACTTCGGATTTTCTGTGTCAGACTGTGTGACTTGATTTAACTTTAAATTTTTGACACACACACAAATATACAAAGCAATGTTAAATTTGTTCTCAACTGACCTTCTGAGTGATATCACGTTCGGTACGCGTGATCAGAAATCTCATTTCGATCAACGGATTAGGATAATTACAATTATCCTCAGCTTAAATCAATGGATCAAGGATATGGAAAATAGCAATCGTCCAGCTAACTTGAGCTCAGTAGTGTTAATGACCAAAACCTCTGCTACTGCTGTACCTTCTTCAGTGACGACTCTTGCTACAATCGAGGTCAATTCTGCTCAACACTTCAATCAAAAAACATATTTCAATTGCTGGTAACTGCAGTTTCTTTTTCTTTCTTTTAAGTCAATTGAAATATATAACGTACGCCTAAAACAATAATTAAAATAATCTCTTTCAGAAAATGGTGCTGTTATGTGTTTTGCTCTGTTTTGGAACAGCTTTGGTGGTGAATATTAATTTTTGATAAATATTTTCTAGATTAGCACTAGACCATTTGTTTTTGTGTGTGATTGGCAAAAAGGTGGGTGAGATGATACAATTTGTTTCAAACAATATAACACTCTTAGTCAAAGCTTAGTAAGCGATAGCACTTTTTAAAATAAATTCTAAATTTCGTATGCTGTTACATTTAATTTTGTGACAAGTGTTCCTTTCTTTAGGTTATAAATATTCCTTTCTTTTTGTGACAAAAGTTTCTTTTTGTGGGGACTAGTGTTTCTTTCTTTTGGTGATAAATCTTTCTCTATACCCAGAGTGCCTTCTGGCCTTTGCAAAGACCCAAAACGGTAAGTAGATTTTTTCAAATTTGCAATTTTCAAATTTTTTAGAGAAAAATACATTTCATTTTACTATTCAAAGCGTATGAAAATAATGTATTAAATGAAAGATGATTGTTGATTATAAGTTAACTATTTGTCAGAAAAATTTCATTACGAAACAAAAATATTCGCTGATTCTTTATACAATATAACACTCTTAGTTTAAGCTTAGTAAGCGATAGCACTGTTTAAAATAAATTCTAAATTTCGTATGCTGTTACATTTCATTTTGTGACAAGTGTTCCTTTCTTTTGGTTATAAATATTCCTTTTTTTGTGACAAAAGTTTCTTTTTGTGGTGACAAGTGTTTCTTTCATTTGGTGATAAATCTTTCTCTATACCCAGAGTGCCTTCAGGCCTTTGCAAAGATCCAAACCGGTAAGTAGATATTTGATAAATATTTTCTAGATTAGCACTAGACTATCTGTTTTTGTGTGTGATTGGCAAAAAGGTGGGTGAGATGATACAATTTGTTTCAAACAATATAACACTCTTAGTTAAAGCTTAGTAAGCGATAGCACTTTTTAAAATAAATTCTAAATTTCGTATGCTGTTACATTTCATTTTGTGACAAGTGTTCCTTTCTTTTGGTTATAAATATTCATTCTTTTTGTGACAAAAGTTTCTTTTTTTTGGTGACAAGTGTTTCTTTTGGTGATAAATCTTTCTCTATACCCAGAGTGCCTTCTGGCCTTTGCAAAGATCCAAATCGGTAAGTTGATTTTTTCAAATTTGCAATTTTCGAATTTTTTAGAGAAAAAAAATATTTCATTTTACTATTCAAAGCGTATGAAAATAATATATTAAATGAAAGATGATTGTTGATTATAAGTTAAATATTTGTCAGAAAAATTTCATTACGAAACAAAAATATTCGCTGATTCTTTATACAATATAACACTCTTAGTTAAAGCTTAGTAAGCGATAGCACTGTTTAAAATAAATTCTAAATTTCGTATGCTGTTACATTTCATTTTGTGACAAATGTTCCTTTCTTTTGGTTATAAGTATTTCTTTATACCCAGAGTGCCTTCTGGCCTTTGCAAAGATCCAAACCGGTAAGTAGATTTTTCACATTTGCAATTTTCGAATTTTTTAGAGAAAAAAAAACTTTTCATTTTACTATTCAAAGCGTATGAAAATAATATATTAAATGAAAGTTGATTGTTGATTATAAGTTAAATATTTGTCAGAAAAATTTCATTACTAAAAAAAAAAATATTCACTGCTTCTTTATACAATATAACACTCTTAGTTAAAGCTTAGTAAGCGATAGTACTGTTTAAAATAAATTCTAAATTTCGTATGCTGTTACATTTCATTTTGTGACAAATGTTCATTTCTTTTGGTTATAAATCTTTCTTTATTCCCAGAGTGCCTTCTGGCCTTTGCAAAGATCCACACCGGTAAGTAGATATTTGATGAATATTTTCTAGATTAGCACTAGACTATCTGTTTTTGTGTGTGATTGGCAAAAAGGTGGGTGAGATGATACAATTTGTTTCAAACAATATAACACTATTAGTTAAAGCTTAGTAAGCAATAGCACTTTTTAAAATAAATTCTAAATTTCGTATGCTGTTACATTTCATTTTGTGACAAGTGTTCCTTTCTTTTGGTTATAAATATTCCTTTCTTTTTGTAACAAAAGGTTTTTTTTTGTGACAAGTGTTTTTTTTGGTGATAAATCTTTCTCTATACCCAGAGTGCCTTCTGGCCTTTGCAAAGACCCAAACCGGTAAGTAGATTTTTTCAAATTTGCAATTTTCGAATTTTTCAGAGAAAAAAAACATTTCATTTTACTATTCAAAGCGTATGAAAATAATGTATTAAATGAAAGATGATTGTTGATTATAAGTTAACTATTTGTCAGAAAAATTTTATTACGAAACAAAAATATTCGCTGATTCTTTATACAATATAAAACTCTTAGTTTAAGCTTAGTAAGCGATAGCACTGTTTAAAATAAATTCTAAATTTCGTATGCTGTTACATTTCATTTTGTGACAAATGTTCATTTCTTTTGGTTATAAATATTTCTTTATTCCCAGAGTGCCTTAGGGCCTTTGCAAAGATCCAAAACGGTAAGTAGATATTTGATAAATATTTTCTAGATTAGCACTAGACTATCTGTTTTTGTGTGTGATTGGCAAAAAGGTGGGTGAGATGATACAATTTGTTTCAAACAATATAACACTCTTAGTTAAAGCTTAGTAAGTGATAGCACTTTTTGAAATAAATTCTAAATTTCGTATGCTGTTACATTTCATTTTGTGACAAATGTTCCTTTCTTTTGGTTATAAATATTCCTTTCTTTTTATGACAAAAGTTTCTTTTTTTGGTGACAAGTGTTTCTTTTGGTGATAAATCTTTCTCTATACCCAGAGTGCCTTCTGGCCTTTGCAAAGATCCAAACCGGTAAGTAGATTTTTTCAAATTTGCAATTTTCGAATTTTTTAGAGAAAAAAAAAGATTTCAGTTTACTATTCAAAGCGTATGAAAATAATGTATTAAATGAAAGATGATTGTTGATTATAAGTTAAGTATGTGTCAGAAAAATTTCATTACAAAACAAAAATATTCGCTGATTCTTTATATATATATATATATATATATATATATATATATATATATATATATATATATATATATATATATATATATATATATATATATATATATATATATATATATATATATATATATATATATATATATATATATATATATATATATATATATATATATATATATATATATATATATATATATATATATATATATATACATATATATAGACCAAACTTTTCAAATGTTTGCACGGGAAAGTGCTATTTTCTTTATAACCTGTGTGAATAGTTTTGGTGTCTTAGGTCCGCTTTTATACCTTAGACGTTAGGTTATTAAATAGAACCGTAAACATCTATTTTAACTATAAGTATAAAAATGTAGTTATTTTATTTCAGGAACATTTTCTGATGATAGATAGACCAGAAGACTTTGTAAGTTACGTTGTTGCATTTTTAGCTCACATATTTATATTAGAATGACATATGTATCAATCGTAGTAATGCAAGAAAACTCTTCAACTAAAGCAATTTGTTATTGAGGAACTGAAGAGTTTTTATATTATTAGGATTAGCTCACTGCTATCAAACAGGTTGTCAAGTATTTTGCTATCGTAAGAGTTGAAATAACTTTAGTAACATACGTAACACTGCATTTCAGCTAACCGGTGAACGTGGGCAACCACCATGGGTAAGTGGTAATTATTAACCGTTTGTATCAAAACTACAAGTTTCATGGCAATCAAAATATTTTAAAAAGATAATTTCTGTTAAAATGAATTTATAATGAATTTATTTCACAAACGTGTTTCTGCAATTGCTTTAAAATACATCATGTTTTGTTAATGTCGTTTTAGAATTTAGCAGGTTTTAAAATATTTAAAACGATTTTAGTGTCAATTACATCAGCAAAACGTGAAAGATCATATAGCACATTGCATTTTAGGTTACTGACATCGGCATCTATGACCCGACGGTGTATCCGTTTCCGGTAAGCGGTAACATTTACGTTTTTTACGGCTATCAAAGTTAGACAAAGTTACGATTAGTTTATTTAATTAATTGTAATCTTTATCTTCTTGCAAACGTATAATATGTTTGTATAAATAAGATGCTACTATTTTTAATGGCAATAAAATATTTAAAAGTCATTTTTACTTCTGTTTTTATAATGTATTGATTTTTATAGACGTGTTTCCGTAGTTGCTTTAAAATAATTCATGTTGTGATAAATTGATTTTACAATCAATTACCGTGTGCTGTATTTTGTTATTGATTTACTCGAACAACAATAGCTTTTGAATTATAATTAAAAATATTTTGTGTAATCATTTATCAAATAAAATATTAATTTCCTATTCTCGTGTGTATTCAATGTAAATTTGCTTTTTTGTTTTATTTCTTTAACGTTAATTAAACAGGTAAATGTAATTTTTAAATATAAAATTAACTCACTTTTAACTTTAAAATGTAAGCAGTTTTTAATCTAATGCATGCCAATACTTTAGAGGAAGAATTTGTGTTTTAATGTGCTAACAACAATCAACGAATTTTTTTAGAGTTTATACAACTGTAATCATTGTAATGCTTGTATACATAATATGTAAACGTATTAAACGAGTTGGTTAAATATTTTAAAGCCTTTGAAAATATTTATTCAATAATATGTTTATTTTTTTTTAATTAAATATTGAAATGTAAATATGTATTGACTCCAGTCCTCTAAATATATTTCAACTTCAATTTTGGAAATAATTGTAATATAAGGAGATCATTTTGCAGTAGTGTAAATGGATTATTTAATTGATTTTGTCTACTACCAACGACGTGCTATGTTGTGGACAGTTTAATTAGCCATTAATGTATTTAACGTATGTTGTTGTTGTTGTTTTTCATTACAGAATAAATATAAAATTATTTTATTACAGAATAAGGATCGTCTTCCTTATCACGAAAAACCTCGTGTGAGTTTTATGAGTCCATTCAATTATAAGTTCTATAAAAATTTAAATCTTTATCAAAACAGCTTAATAATTATACTAGAGTCAGGTCCTAGCACAAAAAGATAATAAAATGCATTCTTCGTCTGCCTGCTGTAACATTACACCAGTTATAATATGACAATACGTCTGTAACATTATAAATAGAACCGTAAACATCTATTTTAACTATAAGTATAAACATGTAGTTATTTTATTTCAGGATCATTTTCTGATGATAGATAGACCAGAAGACTTTGTAAGTTACGTTGTTGCATTTTTAGCTCATATATTTATATTAGAATGACATATGTAGCAATCGTAGTGATACAAGAAAACTCTTCAGCTAAAGCAATTAGTTATTGAGGAACTGAAGAGTTTTTATATTATTAGGATTAGCTCACTGCTATCAAACAGGTTGTCAAGTTTTTTGCTATCGTAAGAGTTGAAATAACTTTAGTAACATACGTAACACTGCATTTCAGCTAAACAACGAACGTGAGCATCCACCATGGGTAAGTGGTAATTATTAACCGTTTGTATCAAAACTACAAGTTTCGTGGCAATCAAAACATTTTGTTGTTGTTTTTCATTACAGAATAAATATAAAATCATTTTATTACAGAATAAGGATCGTCTTCCTTATCACGAAAAACCTCGTGTGAGTTTTATAAGTCCATTCAATTATAAGTTCTATAAAAATTTAAATCTTTATCAAAACAGCTTAATCATTATACTAGAGTCAGGTCCTAGCATAAAAAGATAATAAAACCGCATTCGTCGTCTGCCTGCTGTAACATTACATCAGTATAGTATGACAATATGTCTGTAACATTACATCAGTATAATATGACAATACGTCTGCAACATTATAAATAGAACCGTAAACATCTATTTTAACTATAAGTATAAACATATAGTTATTTTATTTCAGGATCATTTTCTGATGATAGATAGACCAGAAGACTTTGTAAGTTACGTTGTTGCATTTTTAGCTCACATATTTATATGAGAATGACATATGTATCAATCGTAGTGATACCAGAAAACTCTTCAGCTAAAGCAATTAGTTATTGAGGAACTGAAGAGTTTTTATATTATTAGGATTAGCTCACTGCTATCAAACAGGTTGTCAAGTTTTTTGCTATCGTAAGAGTTGAAATAACTTTAGTAACATACGTAACACTGCATTTCAGCTAAACAACGAACGTGAGCATCCACCATGGGTAAGTGGTAATTATTAACCGTTTGTATCAAAACTACAAGTTTCGTGGCAATCAAAACATTTTTAAAAAATAATTTCTGTTATAATGAATTTATAATGAATTTATTTCACAAACGTGTTTCTGCAATTGCTTTAAAATACATCATGTTTTGTTACTGTCGTTTTAGAATTTAGCAGGTTTTAAAATATTTTTAAAACGATTTTAGTGTCAATTACATCAGCAAAACGTGAAAGATCATATAGCACATTGCATTTTAGGTTACTGACATCGGCATCTATGACCCGACGGTGTATCCGTTTCCGGTAAGCGGTAACATTTACGTTTTTTACGGCTATAAAAGTCAGACAAAGTTACGATTAGTTTATTTAATTAATTGTAATCTTTATCTTCTTGCAAACGTATAATATGTTTGTATAAATAAGATGCTACTTTTTTAATGGCAATAAAATATTTAAAAGTAATGTTTGCTTCTGTTTTTATAATGTATTGATTTTTATAGACGTGTTTCCGTAGTTGCTTTACAATAATTCATGTTGTAATAAATTGATTTTAAATTCAATTACCGTTTGCTGTATTTTGTTATTGATTTACTCGAACAACAATAGCTTTTGAATTACCATTAAAAATATTTTGTGTAGTCATTTATCAAATTAAATATTCATTTCCTATTCTCGTGTGTATTCAATGTTAATTTGCTTTTTTGTTTTATTTCTTTAACGTTAATTAAACGGGTAAATGTCATTTTTAAATATAAAATTAACTCACTTTTAACTTTAAAATGTAAGCAGTTTTTAATCTAATGCATACCAATACTTTAGAGCATGGGTTCCCAACCTGAGGGTCGCGACCCCCTTGGGGGTCGCGAAGGGCTTTCTGGGGGGTCGCCAACTGGTTTACTAAACTCTAGCAATGAATAAAAAAAAAAAATATTTAGAAAAATATTTGAAATTTGGCATTACTAACATCACTGGAAACGGAATAGAGAATAAACAATTTGTACTGTGCAAAGTTGTTCTTAGTCAGGAGTCTATGAAAACTTCCAAACGTCAATTGGAGACGAGTCATTCTGAGCACACAAAAAAGGATATGTAGTTCTTTCGTCGGCATGAAGCTAGTTGCAAACGTCATAGACTTGATCGAACAGAACGTTTTCACCAAGAAAACACAACATTAGTGAAAGCATCAGATGAAGTAGTATTAGAAATTGCCAAGCAAAAAACCTCTCACACAAAGGAGAAAATCTCATCAAACAATGTATGCTGAAGATGGTAAAATTAATTCTTGGGGATTACAGTGCAGTAAAGATGCAACAAATATCTCTGTCTAATAATACTATGCAGCGGCTTATGTTAGAATGAAATCAAGCTCTCACCATTGTTTGATTTATTAAGTTGACGAATCGCCAGACGTGAGTTCGTGCTCGCATTTGCTTGTCTTTGTGAAATATATGCATTCAGATGTTAGCAAATAAGAGTTGATGTTTTGTGAAGATATCATGGAGAAAATAAATACGTTTTTTTTTAAACTGGAGGATTAAAATGGGAAAACGGCTGTGGGGCTTGTACGGATGGTGTGTCATGTTTCAGTACGCTGGCTGTCAATAGGAAATGTCAATCGTGTTTTTGAATTGAAAGATGAAATCAAGATGATCTTGGAAGTGAAAGGAAACAAGACCTTTTGATATACTTTAACGACATGGTGTGGTTGGAGAGAGTATCATACCTAGCAGACATATTCGAACATCAACATAAGCTTAACTTGAAAATGAACGAATATTATCTCTTTTCATGATAATCTCTTAGCATTTTTAACAAAAGCTGCAAAATTGGCGAGGAAAAATAACTATTTGAAATACTGCCTTGTTTGAGAAACTCTGCAGTGTGGTGTGATAGATAAAATTTTTAAAGGATTCTGTGCATCTTGAATCTCTTGACAACGAACTGCGGCATTATTTTCCCCGAGCTTTCCTTGATGTTACCAGCATTGCTGATGAATAACAAGATGAATTCTTAAATTTGCAAAATTTAATTGTTAATGCTAGTTAATGCTTGCTAATAGCATGTAATTTTGCTCATCGTGTTAAAACAGTTATCAAGAATAATTCATATTGAAAGCCTACTAAAAAATATTTATTGAGTGCTTATTATTTTCTTTACTAATTTCGACTTGTTAATTATATGGGGGTCGCGGGTCACTTACGTTTTATGAAAGGGGGTCGCCACTCGAAAAAGGTTGGGAACCACTACTTTAGAGGAAGAATTTGTGTTTTAATGTGCTAACAACATCCAACGAATTTTTAAAGAGTTTACACAACTGTAATCATTGTAATGCTTGTATGCATAATATGTAAACGTATTAAACGAGTTGGTTTAATATTTTAAAGCCTTTGAAAATATTTATTCAATAATATGTTTATTACTTTTTAAAAAATTAAATATTGAAATGTAAATATGTATTGACTCCAGTCCTCTAAATATATTTCAACTTCAATTTTGGAAATAATTGTAATATAAGGAGATCATTTTGCAATAGTGTAAATGGATTATTTAAATGATTTTGTCTACTACCAACGACGTGCTATGTTATGGAGAATTTAATTAGCCATTAATGTATTTAACGTATGTTGTTGTTGTTGTTTTTCATTACAGAATAAATATAAAATTATTTTATTACAGAATAAGGATCGTCTTCCTTATCACGAAAAACCTCGTGTGAGTTTTATAAGTACATTCAATTATCAGTTCTATAAAAATTTAAATCTTGATCAAAACAGCTTAATCATTATACTAGATAATAAAATCGCATTCATCGTCTGCCTGCTGTAACATTACATCAGTATAAGTAACTAATACTAGTTTCGATATTATTCATCATTTCCATTTGAAAGATAATCAAAACAATGTAATACTACATTATTTACATTGCGTTTTAGCATGGTAGGAGGAAGCATCGTTTTCACAACCCTCGTGACCTTCCAGTGAGTAGAAGTTTGGGGATTTGGGGATTTTCACGATTTATTTACTAAACTATTTATGTTATTTTTGTTGTAATTAATTTTTCTGAGCAATTTTATAATTCATCCGCTGACAAGACAACCATTTTTTCTCATTCATGTAATTTCATTTTTATCAATTTTTTTTTTGCATTTCATTTTACGGTTATAAATGGTTTACTAGTAAAAATCCCTCAAAGCCTGAAGTAGAGTTCACTTTTTGCTGTGACACCTGTATGAAAAGGGATTGTGGGGCCAGCCGCTATTATTTTCCCTAACAAAAGTTAGGACCCAACAGAGCTAGGCACGGATTTGAACTCGAGACCTACGGTTATCATTCAAGCTCTATACCGCTAGGCCACTCCGTCCCTTCATACAACTTTTAAAGTTTTGTTAAATAAATTATGCAGCTACCACTAGTACCTTATAAAATATCTTATTATTTTGTTTTTCTATATACTACGAATAATAAGAGATTTATTTGAGATTTGAAATAGCTGTACACAAAGCATACACTATGATAACAGCACTGAAACTCTTAATGAAAATGCGATAACGAATAGAGACTTTTAATTTACATCACAGTATCTAATTATTTCGTTCAGTTTAAAACACTGGTTGAATTGAAATATGCAGCAGTATTCTTATATAATAATTTCTCAAATCGAAGAGCATAATAGCATGTTTTGGAGGCAATGTATTTGAGAAACTAGCAAAATTAAACTAATTATCAAAGTTTGAAGATGTATTCCTATCTCGTACTATTGAATCCACCACGTTCATGTGTAGTTCTGTACCAGTGAATCCACCACGTTCATGTGTAGTTCTGTACCAGTGAATCCACCACGTTCATGTGTAGTTCTGTACCAGTGAATCCACCACGTTCATGTGTAGTTCTGTACCAGTGAATCCACCACGTTCATGTGTAGTTCTGTACCAGTGAATCCACCACGTTCTTGTGTAGTTCTGTACCAGTGAATCCACCACGTTCATGTGTAGTTCTGTACCAGTGAATCCACCACGTTCATGTGTAGTTCTGTATCAGTGAATCCACCACGTTCATGTGTAGTTCTGTACCAGTGAATCCACCACGTTATCGTGTAGTTCTGTACCAGTGAATCCAACACGTTCTTGTGTAGTTCTGTACCAGTGAATCCAACACGTTCTTGTGTAGTTCTGTACCAGTGAATCCACCACGTTATTGTGTAGTTCTGTACCAGTGAATCCAACACGTTTATGTGTAGTTCTGTACCAGTGAATCCACCACGTTCTTATGTAGATCTGTACCAGTGAATCCACCACTTTCATGTGTAGTTCTGTACTATTGAATCCACCAGGTTTATGTGTAGTTCTGTACCAGTGAATCCACCAGGTTCTTGTGTAGTTCTGTATCAGTGAATCCACCACGTTCATGTGTAGTTCTGTACTATTGAATCCACCACGTTCTTGTGTAGTTCTGTACCAGTGAATCCACCAGATCAACATGATTTTTATTTACATTTTCAACGGAAAAATGAATGTGTTGTATCACAACCACATATACCAATGCTTTTTTTAAATAAAATATTTTAATCGTTGTCTAAAGATTCAAGTATAATGATGCTTCATTTATTGTGGTGTAAGTTTTTGTATACACGACTCAATATCTATCAACATAGACCTAAAGCTATTACATTTGTATTTCAAAAGATTGCTGTATAACTTATAATGTTTTTTATTTATTAGTTCTTCAAACCAAGACATCCTAAATATATCGTAAATGATGCAATCGGCTGTTATATTTAATGTATATCATATAATTTATAGTACCACATTTTTTTTTAAATTACAAATTTTAAATTATAGTAAATTTGTATTTATTATTATTAATTATTCGTAAATATTTACTTTTAAAAGAAAAAAAATGTTTTTATTTTGAAAACAAATTGAGTTTAGGTTAGCCATGAAATAGAAATCTACGATTAAAACCTTTTTTTATCAACAGAACTACCGGGGGGTGAGTGAAGTTTAACGTAATTAATAAAAAAAATGTTCAAATTTAAATAACTCATTATTTCAGTTTTTAACATGCATTATTTTCATCACGGCACCTAATTCTAAGACAAAGTTATCATTAAACTTGGAAAATGATCGAACAATTAGATATAACAAGATAATTGTATTGAATTATTTACATTAACACTGACACACGTAAAGAAAGACACAAGCATATATACATTTAATACAAGCATATACACACACTCTTATATATACATATATATATATATATATATATATATATATATATATATATATATATATATATATATATATATATATATATATATATATATATATATATATATATATACATATATATACATATATATATATATATATATATATATATATATATATATATATATATATATATATGCATAAAATGCATATATAATACTTATTTTTCAGTTCTTCCCGTAATACATTCAGAATTATTTGTAAAACCACCAGTATAAGAGTGGTAATGTGCTTCACTCTTGAGAAACCTTGCTGTATTATAACAAAATATTTTTGGAATTAAACAAAGTTACATAATATTATTACTATGTCGTTCAAAAATTATTTCATTTTAGTTTTAATGTTTAATTAATAACGATAACATTATATATATATATATATATATATATATATATATATATATATATATATATATATATATATATATATATATATATATATACATATATATATATATATATATATATATATATATATATATATATATATATATATATATATATGTTACGGTCAAAGCCCGAAGTGCGGCCAAACCCCGGATTGGCCGGCCAATGCGCGGATTGGCCGGCTCTCTTGGCCAAAGCCCGAAGAACTTAGAACTAAGATCGTATTTCGTACATTGGCCGGCCAATGCGCGCACTGGCCGGGACGTACTGGCCAAAGTCCGAAGTGCTTAAACTTGACAGCGTATTTTGTACATTGGTCGGCCAATGCACGCATTGGCCGGGATGTCCTGGCCAATGTTCTATCTAGACTAAGTTGTGATCGCGTTTTCATTATTTAGGGTGCGGTATTTAGGGTGCGGTTTCATTGTGAGTAACGTATTGTTTAGCACTTGTTTGTGAATCAAGTTATTTCTGAACTAAAGAACATGTGGCCTGAACTTAAACTAGTTCACGGAAAACCAAGGTATAGCCAAAGCCAAGGTTTAGTCGAACGTGTCAACCGAGATGTTCAAAACATGATGATGACATGGATGCAAACAAATGAATCAGCTCATTGGGCTGAGAGTCTCAAATTCATTCAATTTATGAAAAATCGTTCTTTTCATCAAGGAATCCAACAATCACCATACGAAGCCTTGTTTGGATGCAAAGCAAAAGTGGGACTCAGCACTTCAAATCTACCAAGAGAGGCTCTCAATAAAAAAGTTACTGAGGAAGATCTTGAGAACATTGAACAAGAAATAGAGGTTGCCATAAATGCAACTACATCCTCAGCTAACACATCTACTGCCGTGGCGGAACGTCCAGACCAGTTGCGTGACAATAATGTGGCCAACAGAGTATAGTTTGTGAAAAACATTGTAGTGCAGCTCATTCTTGTGGATCCTGTGGCAAAGATGTCCATGCTATTTGTGGAGTACCCAATGAAGCAGACGAAGGGTACGGAGGGAACATTACCTGCAGATTGTGTCACAACAAACAAGACATCATGGAACACAGATCAGCAGCTCATACTGGCTTGCAAAATCAAGTTGCTAAGATGCTTAAAACATAAAATACAAAATTTAAAGATGGTGAAGTGGGTGACAATGTACGCATCCGTGTTCCAGATGTTGACAGAGGTCGCGGTGATCCCCGAAGCGTGATTGCAGTTGTTATGAGCGTCGAGGGGGGTTTCTACAAATTAGGAACGGAACATGGTGTTCTAAAACAACTGTATGCTAGAAGTGAGTTTTCAATTCTTCACGAAAAACTGCTCTTATTGTCGTCAGTTGGCACCGAGGAAAAATCACTACTAACCATCGCATCTTCACAATCATTGACTGGGGGCCAAGGCTACACTCGCTGCAATTGCACAACCAAGTGCATAACAAATCTCTGCAAGTGTAAAAATAAAAAGCTGCTATGTAATTCTAAATGCCATAAAAGTTCAACTTGTTGTAACAAATTATAATATTGATTGATTGAGACTATAGTACAATAAAAAATTTGAATGTTTCTGTCATTTACTTTAATTAATAATCAATAAAGACTTAATTTCATGATCCTTACGGCATTAAAAAACCCAAAATCTGCTCATGATTTTCTAATTCGGACTTTGGCCGGTCGTCCCTAGCCAGATGATCTTCTAATTAAGACTTTGGCCGGTCCACCATGGCCAGTCCGCGGACTGGCCGGCCAAAGGCCGAAATCAAGAGCTATTTCAAGCAAAGTTTCGGACTTTGACCGACCTATAAGAGACCATATTGGCCAATGCGCGGATTGGCCGGCCAATCCGCGGATTGGCCGACTTCGGGCTTTGACCGTAACACATATATATATATATATATATATATATATATATATATATATATATATATATATATATATATATATATATATATATATATATATATATGGTCTGTGTGTGTGTGTGTGTGTGTGTGTCTTTCATACACTCCAAGAACTTATAAATAACGAATACAAAAACCAGACGACACTTTTAGAAGATAACTTAGTCACTGCTGATACGGACCTGATACGACAAAATGACTGGAGAATGATAAGGCTAAAACACGACAAAGAACAAATTACTTCCCTAAACAGTATAATAAAAAAAACAACCTTAAAAGACTGTACAAAAAGACACATCTAAAATTAACAGCAGATCATACCCTAGAGCGTATATATCCCATATTATCCCAAGGTCTCAAATTTTAATAATTTTTTGATATGGTTTAGCTTTTGGGCACTGAATGAAGGAATGACTATGGATTTTTTTAAAAATTCAATACTTTTTTAAATATCGATTTTTTAAAAAACGTCCCATAAATGGGACGCTAGCGATGAACGGCCCCATGCACATTTATAAAAAAATAAAATCATTTATCACGAAAGTGGCTAATCACGCGAAAATTAAGCTGTATACTGACATTGTATTGTTAGACCAATGATTACATTGTTTTGACAGCTAAAAATACTGATAATGATCAATTGGGTTAGCCATACCATTGTCTAAAATGCAGAAATTATGTTCAAAAGTCTAGTTTTCTTTCAATCTAACATCCATCACTTGGAAATAAGTAAAGCTCTGACTAGTATATCTAATTATACACACTTGATCACAAATATTGTTATTATTCATCGAAACTGTAATATAATTAAAAATAAATAATTGATTTCTTGGGGGCGTACTTGAAATTTTCAAGGGTGGGGACTTAAATTTCAGGGGAAGGGTGGACTTTGGTAAAAGTATGTTTTGTATATAAATTCCATTTTGTTCTGGGGGAAGAGCCCCCCCCCCCCTCCTCCGAAATGATGCCTGAAAGAAACTCTGTCCTCAGTGAATTTGCAAAAGATGATCCGGTCTAGTACCAGATGTCATCCAGCCATCTTCTCTTTTGTTACCCTCGCTATTCCCCCCCCCCCCCTCACAGGCGTACATTAGGACATCAGACATCTTATTTCTAGGGCACGAATCCGTCTCTGGGGGCTTGTATAGAGTGTTCATGGCTCTCATCCATGTATGCACCCCACTATGCGAACAGCTCCCAATCTAACACCAGGAATCTCCTTAAAAAGTTAACACAGTAAAACTGGTATCGGGAACCTTTGGAGGGGAATATTATTGGGGCATGATAACTGTACACAACTAATTCACATTTCTGCTATATGAAGAGAGTTAACCAACCCCCATGACTGAATCATTTAACCTCAATCGTGGCCATTGTTATTATTCTGGTTTGTTATAATTTTAATATCACGCACTAGTAAATTTACAGCAATACCAAATTAGTTTGTATTCAATGGTATTAAATACTTCAGTAAGTGTAATTTTGAAAACTTAAAAATAAAAGGTAAGTTTTTCAATATTTGCAATTTTTTAATACAATAATATATAAGAAAATATAGCTCAAGGTCATAAGTATATATCTATAAATACTACTTAACACCCTAAAGTCAACATTTAACAAAGTCAACAATTTTTTCACCATAAATAACCATTTAACATAAATATTTGCATCTGTGTTTCTCGCTAGTGTCCAATAAATGTGACGTTTGTGTAACAATCTGCATAAATATAGGTCAAGGTCATAGTTAAATATCTATAAATACTACTTAACACCCCAAAGTCAGCAGTTAACAAAGTCAACAATTGTTTCACAATAAATAACCATTTAACACAAACATTTGCATCTGTGTTTCTCGCTAGTGTCCAATAAATGTGACGTTTGTGTAACAATCTACAAGGGGCCATTCGTTACTAGCGTCCCACTTATGGGACGCTTGTTGTACACTTGATATAACGAAGTAGTAAAAAAAATTGCTATTCTTAAATTTTTATCCGATAGAAATATGGTACTGCTACAAGTTTCAAATGTATTTTGCACTTAAAATGATAATATTTTGGAAGATATGCATTATCCTGTGCGCATGTTTTCTTTTTTCCGCCATTTTGACAAGTCCTGCAAATCCGGCACTATAACATTTTTCTAAATTAATTTTTTTCACAAAACACACACAAATTCAATAGTTTAGCCATTTTCAAATACAATGAAACATAATTTGTGTTTTAACTAGTTTTTAATAAATTTTAGCAATTTTTTTACAAGCGTCCCATAAGTGGGACGCTAGCAGAATATGGGATATATATTATAGCAGTGAGCAAACTAAAAAGCACCTCGCTCAAACACTGACATGTACAGACCACAAAATGGTTTCCGCTCAACTATAAATCACCCACATATAGAACAATGGAAACCTTGTGGAAACTTGACAACACACTCCTAAAAAACAGCGAATACATCGCAGAAATAAGGAAGTTCTCCGCAGAATTCACACAGACAGCTTCAAATACACATGCACTAGAGCAGGGGTTCCCAACCTTTTTTTTACTCTAGAGCACATTCTAAAATATCGGTAGGGTTGCGGGCACCACCTGTTTTAAATCGACAAACTCCTTCCATAGGGCACGGGGTTGGTACGGGAATACTCCATCAAAATAGCCTGGCGAATAAACATTGAAAAAATTATGGAAAACCTATTAGGCAGACATATTTAATAGGCATATACATCAGTCATAATGCAACACATAAAACATTGAAGAAGTAGAAACAGAATTGAGCAAAACTCAAACACATAGACGCAGTTGAGCGCTAATATGTAGTAAAATAGACTTGACAGCCAACGCTGAGCTCTAGCATTACAAATCAACTTGAGTAAAAATACACCGCTCCAGTAAATACCTAAGGACAGTGGCTTAGCCATCGTAAAGCTAGCGCTTATACTCTCTTAATGTACAGGCAGTAGCAATCAGCGTTGGTTGACGGAAAGTGGGGGGGGGGGGGGCGTCGACCACGGCCCATCCGTAATATAAAGACTACAGGCATTGCTGCATTGTTGTACAAGCCATTGAGAGAACAAACCTATTAATAAACTTGAACTTTAACTTGTGAAAGTGGCATCCGGCACCCGTAAATTTACACGCATCTCTACGAACCTCAACTGAATCGTCAATCCCCCAACCAGTAGCGTACACAGGGGGGGGGGAGCAGGGGTAGCGGCCGCTCCCCCTCTGGCCATTTTCAGCAAAGTGGCGCCTTTTTGGAAACTTTTTAAACTCAAAGTTTTAAACAATGATATTTGTTAAAAAATATTTTTGGTCGGCACATCTATGTAAATCACAAGATTTCTTTTCATGCAGCTCTTAAGCATTATTGTACTAGTCTAGTACTGTCTACGTTTACAACACGTATTAACAGCTGCATCAGTTTGCCATTCTAAAAATAACCATTACGATGCATTGCAATGTTTAAAAAACCTCTACGGGTAGTACCACTTGGCAAGAGGGGTGTTAAGTTTAAGGCAACTGTATAATGTATTTGCTTACATACATAAAACTTCACACATAATTACTTTATATATACAGTTTGAATCGTGTGATTAAGTTAAAAAAAAAACAATACAGAAACAAATACAACTGATGTGGCACCTCTATTTAAATTTACCTATGAGCAAACTGCGTAGTGGTGGGGAAATTTTGACAAGGTCAACAACGTCATCATGATGAAGTAGTAGTATTCTTACAGTTTGGGCGATAGTGATTACGATTACAAATTATATGAAACAGTTACAACCCCCCACCCCCATGTACCCCTCGGTAAAAAAAAATATTGTCATAATACCACTGCAACTTATTTGTGTAATATATATTTGTGTAATATATATGTATGTTTAGAACAGTCATCTAAAAACTGACGCTACGTTCACTCTTAGTTGGTTATCTCCCCCCCCCACACACACACCTCACCACCACAATTGTGTATAGCGACATTCATGTCACACCTAGGTATACACTGGGTTGGATAATTGACCTAAAGTGGACAGTGGTGAATGAAGTTGAACCCCCCCCAACCTACCCCGAATTGATCTGTTAAGTACATGTAGATAAACGCGTAATGATGTACCAAAGTACCATGCCGCCAGAAAATTAGCTTTTTAAACGTAAAACTCTGTGAATATTGTTTTTGCAATTAACAGTAAAAAGGTGTGTGATCATTAAAGTGATCTAACCCATACCTATCACTATGTTAAACATGATCTTTAAAGAACACAAAGAAGTAGTAGTTGATTAAAAATATATGATCTGAGCTAAAAAGAACGATATTTAGTTAAATGTAGTCTGTAATTACCAATATATATTTATTCAATAGAAAAGCGTGGTTTTATACCAACTCTGATTTTAAAAACTTTCATTATGCTGTAATACTTTGCATTTATGATGACGATATATTAAATTCTAATTATAGACAAAGACATTTTGTAAACTCGAATAGTGTTTAACAAGTGCATTTTATTCTAAAGCAATTATTTATTTGTTTTGACATTTTATATAATTAAATGTGTAGATATATACATATTTATATTAAGAGAGTAATTATTTCCCCTATTACACTTGTCTTAAATAATTTCCCAGGAATTATTATGTAAGAATTTTTTTTACAAGAATTACAAAACAGATTGTGTTACGTTCATTGTTTTTGGTTGTAGTGTGTGTATATTTGTTTCTTTTTTTTTTTTTTAGATTGATACAATTTTTGTTTTGTCGGCCTACATTGTGTGTTTTTTCTTACTTCTTCAGAGTGCTACTTTCAATTTATTTTACATCATATCGAAGTAATGACATACAGCTAGTAATTATATATATATATATATATATATATATATATATATATATAATACACGTAAATAGAACGTGTTGAAAATTTGGCGCCTTTTCTTGCTCTTTTCGCTCCCCCTACGCCTCTGCCCCCACCCCAAAAAACTGCACCTTCCTACCAACTGTCTGACCTCCCCGAAATTCCATCATACTAAACAAACATGATAACAATAGAGACAATTTTAAAATTAGCCACAATGGAAAGCAGTTCCACAACAAGTTCAAGATTTATCAAAGTTTTTCTACTAATTTTTACCTTAATGACATTTCATTTGTTGATGCAATGTTAAATCAATATGTTACTACTAACACTATAAGTTGTTTTTTTTTTCATTCAGTTACCAAGAAACTTTGGGAAGTCATTGAGAATACTCCAGGCATGTTTTTTCCCAGTCCTCACTATGAAAAGAAGCTTGAAAAAAACTTGTGATTTTTGGGAAGATTTTAGGTTTTGTTCAGATTCAGGTTTAGGTTTAGGTTTAGGTTTAGATTTAGGTTTAGGTTTAGGTTTAGGTTTAGGTTTAGGTTTAGTTTTAGTTTTAGTTTTAGTTTTAGGTTTAGGTTTAGGTTTAGGTTTAGGTTTAGGTTTAGGTTTAGGTTTAGGTTTAGGTTTAGGTTTAGGTTTAGGTTTAGGTTTAGGTTTAGGTTTAGGTTTAGGTTTAGGTTTAGGTTTAGGTTTAGGTTTAGGTTTAGGTTTAGGTTTAGGTTTAGGTTTAGGTTTAGGTTTAGGTTTAGGTTTAGGTTTAGGTTTAGGTTTAGGTTTAGGTTTAGGTTTAGGTTTAGGTTTAGGTTTA